TCACTCTCCTCTAACTCTCCTCTCACTCTCCTCTAACTCTTCTCTCACTCTCCTCTCACTCTTCTTTCACTCTCCTCTCACTCTCCTCTAACTCTTCTCTCACTCTCCTCTCACTCTTCTTTCACTCTCCTCTAACTCTCCTCTCACTCTCCCCTCACTCTCCTCTAACTCTTCTCTCACTCTCCTCTCACTCTCCCCTCACTCTCCTCTAACTCTTCTCTCACTCTCCCCTCACTCTCCTCTCACTCTTCTCTAACTCTCCTCTCACTCCTCTAACTCTTCTCTCACTCTCCTCTCACTCGTCTCCCACTTTTCTCTCACTCTCCTCTCACTCTTCTTTCACTCTCCTCTCACTCTCCTCTAACTCTTCTCTCACTCTCCTCTCACTCTTCTTTCACTCTCCTCTAACTCTTCTCTCACTCTCCCCTCACTCTCCTCTAATTCTTCTCTCACTCTCCCCTCACTCTCCTCTCACTCTTCTCTAACTCTCCTCTCACTCCTCTAACTCTTCTCTCACTCTCCTCTAACTCTTCTCTCACTCTCCTCTCACTCTTCTCTCACTTTTTTTCTCACTCTCCTCTAACTCTTCTCTCACTCTCCTCTAACTCTTCTCTCACTCTCCTCTCACTCTTCTCTCACTTTTTTTCTCACTCTCCTCTAACTCTTCTCTCACTCTCCTCTCACTCTCCTCTCACTCTCCTCTAACTCTTCTCTCACTCTTCTCTCACTCTGATCTGTGCGTCAGGCCTGGGCTCTGGAATCCAAATGTTGTGCTGGGGCGGCTGTGGTTGGCACTTCCTCTGGCCTATAATCGCATAAGTACAAGACAAAGCAGAGAGCCCATAAACCCATTCTCCGCTTCCCCTGCGCCTCCCGCAGTTTCTAGCTGCTCCCAGGTGGAGCATCCAAATGGTCTGGGAACCTCTGTGTGCCAAAGCTGTAGAACCCCCTACCCCCTTCGGTTTTCCACCTAAAGCCAATAGCATGACCTGCTACTACTTACATGCAGTGGTCCATAGAAACAGAATGGGTCGTACTGTCTGTTATGCTTTGACCAAAACACAACTCTTTGTAAGATTCAGATTTAAAATTCCATAAACATGACCCAATTGTGTCCCCAGATATGAAACATGCTCAAATCAAATATAGTTTTTACTGAGAACAGCAAATAAGAAGTAATGCTGATGCATTCTTATTTACAAAAACATTGGACTCGATGACCAAGTTGTTCATGTTATTATTTGGTGTTTTGGTTCAAGATGATTATCCAATCAAAAAGCAGAATGAGCCTCACGTGATTCTCTCATGTGGGTCGACAGTTTCAAAGCTGAAATCCAGTTGGTTTAAACCTAAAACGTCTCTCTGATCTGAATGGTCACCAAACCCCAGCACCTGCACCAGTCATGAGTCAGTGCTAATGCAGCCTCTGCAGCTCAGGGAGGAAATTCTGGAGGTTCTGAGCTTCACACGAGGCCTGGTCTGTTCATAAACTGTGAATGAGACAAACTTGGATGTGTCTCTGTCTGCAGGTGATGGCTCTGTTGACACAGGTTCAAATGTGTGCTACTTTCAAACAGTAAACGAACAGATAGTGTCTTTAACACTGAGGGGGTTAGACTAACCCTAACTGAAGACTGAAAAGTGTTAATTTAGGTTGATTTGGGCTTTAAAAGTGCCCTTTAAATTGTTCATGTATGAACTTGACCATACTGCTGCACCCACAGACTCATCTCCAGATCTTAAGCCAGAATCTTGGCCAGGACTTTGGCACATTGGTACAGTGGTTAGCACTCTTACCTTACAGAAAATCCCGGGTCCCCTGGAAGTCACTCCTAGGTGGTGCTGTGTGTGTGGAATTGGCATGTTCTCCCTGTGCCTGTGGAGGTTTCTTCATAGTGCTTTGGTTTCCACTTGCGCTAAAAGCATTTACAACAGGCTCTTGCGTGGCTCCTTTGCCTGCTCATTTCACACTTCACCAGCGTGCCTCTTACATGGTACATTTTCTGTCCTGTACCTGTGTGATCCACCACACATGTGCAGCCTGTGGAGGATTTCCTCTGCTCGTGGGAACGCTGTCTGCTCTTGTCTGTCTCTCATGAGGGCTCGAAATGTGCTCCTGTCTGCTCCTGTCACTGTTTCATGAGAGACTAACTGTGCTCCTGTCTGCTCCTGTCGCTGTTTTGTGAGGGACCTGCTCCTGCCTCAGGCCCTGGGTTTGTGTGACAAACATAAGGACCTCCACACTGCCAGCCCGGGCAGACTGCAGAGCACTGGCACAGGAACACACACACACACTACCACTCCCACCACACCAGCCCCCACCAACAACATGGTTTATAGTTCAGACATGAGTTCAAATAGGTAGTGACTATGGCTAAGGTTAGGATCAGTCTCCAGGAAATTAATAGAAGTCGATGGAATGTGCCCAAGAAGCATGGAAACCCAACATGTATGTGTGTGTGACTGTGTGTGTGTGTGTGATAGTGTTTGTGGATTGGTGTGTCTGGCTCCGTCCACACACACTTGGATAGATTTATAGACACATGACAGAAGCATATGGACTTCCTGCTGTCCTCACTGAGCACTGTGCTGTTTAAGCCTCTTTGTCATGTTAGCATGCTAGTGGAGCCTTGTGCACAGACACAAGTACAGGATGTAAAGTAAAAACTCTAAACTGCCTTTAAACTATGATCCCGCTGATACCATGGGACTCCCTCACTCAAAAAAGTAACTAATTAATGTAACTAATTCCTACTCATTCATAGGTCAGTAGTTTAGTCAGTTAATTGGTCGATGGAGTCTCGACCAAAATGTAATTTAGACGATGAGGATTTTGGGGAATTGCCGACCTTACCTTCGTAAGAGGCGGAGCTGAGCCGATCCTTTCTCCTGCGATCACCTTCATCCCCACAGTGAGTCCTGTTTCTGTTCTGGTTTAGTCCCGGTTTAGTCCTCCTCTTCAGTCCTGGAATCAGTCCTGGGTTAATTCTGGTTTAGTCTTGGTTCAGTTCGTGGCGTAGGCAGCGCAAACTGATGTAATCTCAGGTTAACGGGCGGGTGTGGTGCTGTACTGCAGGACTCTGCGCTGTAGGACTCCATTACGAAATTAATTAATCTTCGGTTACATAAAGAAGAAGCAAAATAACAAAAGGACGACAGCTGCAATGAGTTTTAAGAAGGAGGCAAAAAGGGTTAACTGTCCTGTGTGAGAAAAGTGTATAAAGTGTGTGCTGAGGGGTTTTGCAGACTTAAAACAGATAGAATCATTGTAAATTATAAAGTTGACTACTATCGCGGGTTATTTTTAGAACGTATAAATGAGGGACCACTGTTCTATTTTCTGCATAAAGAGTGGTTTTTGCATGAGCTCTCCCTGCAGGTGTAGTCTAGTATGTGCAGTTTGAGTCAGATACATAGAGATATGTGATAGTTTTGAGAGCTTTGGCCACACCCCCTTTTAGTCGACCAATCGATCAGCAGCATAAGTCTTTACTTCACCAAGAATTTATTTAGTCAACCACAGCTGTACAATTGACAGATAATGGCCTTACAGAAAATGACTCGACTTTTTGTCTCACAACTGCCTCTGTTCCTTTCTACACCTACAAACAGCACGACATCAGCTGCTCTGACTGGACACAGCTCCGAGAATGTGCAGACTGAAGTTTAAAACAATGTTATTCAGCAGAGTGTACTGCTTAAAAAGGGGGTATTATACAAAAATCCACTTTTTGGCGCTTTCTGTGTTATTACGTTGTTCCCTCATCAAGAGTTTTTAGATGTCAGACATACATGTTCTAAATGGTTTGCAAATGTCCAAAGTTATCCCTCACTTACTTTATGCATTCTGAGCATCCTGATTACTCACCGTGATGACTCACTTTCACACATCAGAGTGGTAATGCTAACAGCAACTAGCATGCTAACTGCCAGCTTCTGATTCCAGGACAATAAAACACTTGATTCGATGTAGACAGAACACAGAGGTCACGGACACTTTGATGGAATCATATTTTCCGAGTTTGATCCAGGCCTGTAGTGTTGACCTGACTGTAAACCTGATGTCATGTCTCTGCATGGACCCACCTCATGCCCAAAGCAAACACAGCCCCACGCCACTGTCAACACCTCCCACAATGCACTGGGGCTGAGCAAAGGGTTGAACGAAGAGATGAGCGAAGGCCAGAAAACAGGAGTTTGAGGAGGAGGACAAGAGTCAACAGAACACCCTAATTAATGTGTGAAGAATTTCAGATTGACTGGAAAATGCAAGCTAATGCTGCATCATGTAACTTTTCTGTTGGCAGGTTGGTGACCTGTTTGTCTCCATGGAGATGTTATGGAGATGGAGATGTTATTGCTGTGTTCCACAGGATACTGTTAAAAAAAACCCTGAGAAGTACAGCTGCCATAGTGGGCATGGGGCAAAACTGTTGTTGTGTCCAAGACACTTTACCTATTGCCTAATATGAATATATGTGTGTGTGTGTGTGTGTGTGTGGGTGGGTGTGTGTGTGTGGGTGCTGGTGGGAGGGGTTAATCATTTCCATCAGTCTGCCCCGGGGCAGCTGTGGCTACAATATTATCTGACCACCTCTGAGAGAACGAAGAATGTACCAAATGTGGAAAAGGGCTTTTTATACATGTGGCCAGTAGAGGGTGTCCACACACTCTGTGTCCTCTGTGTCCACACACTGTCTCTCACGTGTCCTCTGTGTCCTGTATGTCCACACACTGTCTCTCACGTGTCCTCTGTGTCCTCTGTGTCCTGTATGTCCACACACTGTCTCTCACGTGTCCTCTGTGTCCTGTATGTCCACACACTGTCTCTCACGTGTCCTCTGTGTCCTCTGTGTCCTGTATGTCCACACACTGTCTCTCACGTGTCCTCTGTGTCCTCTGTGTCCTGTATGTCCACACACTGTCTCTCACGTGTCCTCTGTGTCCTCTGTGTCCTGTATGTCCACACACTGTCTCTCACGTGTCCTCTGTGTCCACAGGAACTGGTGTCCCCACACGGTGACAAAGACAGTGACGTGTCAGGTGCACAATGGGACGGTGGTGCAGAGGGTGTACCAGAGCTGCCGCTGGCCGCAGGGCTGCTCCGGGGGCAGGTCAGACTCTCCACACTCACATGTCTCAGGTTTTTGTGTTTTTGTGTCAAGCATAAATTCTGATACAAAAAAGTTACACAAGTAAACTCAGATAAACAGTTAAAGGTCACATATTATGCTACATTGCCTTTTTTGAGCTTTTTACCATATCAAAAAACAGTCCTTGTCAAAAAACAGTACTCGAGTTCTATTTTGCTTTGTTCATACTTGTTTAATTAATCCAAAGTTGTCGTTCTCTGAGCCTCAAAAATGCTTTATTCACATTTTGCCAGTTTAGTTGCATCATAGATAAAACTCTGGACTTCTGCACGGCCACGTCCATAAACCATCATCGGAGTCAAACTTACAGCTCAGTTAGAATAGCATGGCTCTGCTTAGAGTTCACTGGGATAAGGACTTCATGTTTACTTTCTGATTGGTCATTCCCGTTGCAAACAGCAGAGGGAGCTCTAACTCAGAAATGCCTCACTGGAAATGGAGGTATAGTTTATAAAGTGTATTTTCCAAATGTAGACATTATTTCCCCCAAAATGCAATGAGCAAATGAGTGAGAAAAAGCATGTTTGAAAGGAATTAAAGCCACAAGAATGCAACCTAAATGCTCTTTCCACATCTGCCCTTTACAGTTTTGAACCTAAAGCATGTTTGTGTGTGTGTGCACAGTTATCGAACTGTGGTGCGGCCGTCCTATAAGCTGGTGTACCGCACCGTCACCTCTCTGGAGTGGAAGTGCTGCCCGGGCTATAGTGGACCTGCCTGTACTGACCACAGTGAGTCTGCACACACATACACACACACACACACACACTGACTCTGCTGACCTTTGTGGTGCTTTGGACGATGCAGCGGTCTCCTCCCTCTGTACTATGTGACCACAGCACTCACATACAGAGCTGCTCGTGTGTGTGGATCTGAGTCACTATTTTGAGGCTTGATAAAATGGACTTACACTCAGACTTGGGACTGGACTTGGACTTGATCCTTGAGACTTGAGATGACTTTGTGCATGTCCCCAGTCAGTCACATGCACTTTTAGTGATGTGGTCATACCGTCTTGTCAAAGTCTGATCTCGTCAGCTCTCAGAGACTAAGCGGGGCCGGGCCTGGTTAGGACTTGGAGATCTCTGGGAATTCCAGGTGCCATAGTGGGACATCAGTGGAACAACTGCCATTGTGTCCTTAGGCAAGACACATCACCCACCTTGTCTAGTATGAATGTGGTGCTTGAAAGTGAGTGTTGGTTGTGTTCCTGACACAAGCTGTATGAGATATTTAAGATTCAAGCAGAGAGTGTGTTTTAGTCTGAACTGTTCTGGTTGAACATCTGAGTAAGAAACACAGTACTTTGGTTTTTACATCTTCTTTTGTTACTTGTGTCGTTCTAAATGGTCATATATTCTTGTGATTTGATTGTGTGAGTCTTGGTAATAACATTGTAATAATGGTATTTGGAGCTTCATATCCTCTGAGATGGCACAGGGGGTTTGGGGCCCCTAACTGAGGAGCCACCTTACTTGGCCCACACTGTGTAGTGTGGGGCCCCTGATTGAGGAGCCACCTGACCCACACCTGTACTTGAGTCGGACTTGGTTTAGATTTCCCTGGTTCTGCTGGAGAGCGCTGTTACATAAGGCCGCCTGTGTGTTCTGCAGCAGGGGCCCGAAACCAGATCTGCCCCCTCTCCACCCCCTCCCCTTTCTCTCTCCTCCTCTCTCCCTTCTCTCTCTCCCCTCTCTCGTCCTCCTCCCTCTCTTTGTCTCTCTTTCTCCTCTCCGCCTCTCTCCTCCTTTCTCCACCCCTTCCCTCTCTCTCACTCTCCTCTCTCTCCTTCCCTCTCCCTTGTCTCTCTCTCTGTTCTCTCCTCGTCTCTCCTCTCTTTTTCTTATGAGGGCAGACTAGACTTCTTTTAGCTGCCATTGTGTCATTTACAGCCCCAGACAGCCCCTCCCTCTGCGGGTGCCATGCCAGCGGTGGTGGGGCGAGGCTGGGGCGAGGGCAGGGGGAGGGGGGCTGGTACTCTGTGGGTGGATGTAATACTGGAATTGCTCAGTTAAAGGTTTTCTGCTTGAAGAGCTTGAAGGAGCACAAAGCAACTCATCTAGATTCCATGGAGATGATATTGATTGTGTCGAATGTTCCACAGTTTGGCCAGACTTCCATGCAGACCATCAGGTTTCAGGTCAGATCTGTGGAGCGGCGTCCCACTCACTGTATGAATGTTTTTGTCAATAAAATGAAAGACTATACAGAGATGTATTTACCTTGTTGACAGGTTTCAGATGTTGCTAATGGTCCCAAGGGTCGGCTCTGCTGACATGTTCACACACTTTAAGTTCTGGAAGTTCTTGAGTTTCTGGAGGTCTTTGAGATTCTGGAGGTTCTGGAGCTGTGAGCTATACTATAAACATGTGCACTGTGGAGCTCAGGAATGCTCCACAGTGCACATGTTTATAGTCTGAAAGTTTTGGGTTTTGGTTGTCCCTCACATTCAAAAGGTTCCTGAGATTCTGGAGCTCCAAGCTGTGATGGGGGTTGGGAGTGTTCTGCACAGCTGTCTCTGCTCCACAGACAGTCCATAGTGCACATCCACAGGCTGGAGGTTCTTGAGGTTCTGCAGTTTCTGAATATTCTGGAGGTACTGGCGCTCTGAGCTTTGGTGAGGCTTGAGGAACGTCTTGGAGGTTCTGGAGGTCCTGGAGGTTCTGCAGCACCAATGGGGTTCAGGAATGCTCCACAGACAGTCCACAGCGCACATGTTCTCAGGCTGTGGGCAGAGGCTTTGTTGTGGTGAGCTCTGTACCCTCTCGCTGTGAGGCCTGTGGAGGAGCCTCGTAAAGACACATTTATGAGGTTGTGTTGGAGCTGTCTGCACTGGGACGAAACAGTTTGAAGCTGTTAAATGTGAGTTATTTTGTAAAATCACAGTAAGTGCTTCAGGTGGTGTAACCAGAGGCTGGTGAGGTGGCTCCATACAATTTTACGACTACCAACTTTCCTACTATTACTAAGTAAACTACTACACTGGGTTTACTTGAGTCATTTCCCTTTGACTTTGCAGTAGACGTCTAGTTGAGCCATCCTCTACTTGGACTAGTTTGAGAGGACAAGTCCTTCACCCACTCAGATCTGATGTTTACAGCAGCAGCTCAGAGGGGCTACACATGACACTTGTGAACTACAGCATCTTTTATCCGACTTTGTTTGAAGTGAATGTGGCCAGAACCAGGGCCAGATGCATGTGGACGTGGCACATTGTACTGGGGGCCCTGGGCTAGGGCCCTTTTGCTGGGGCCTCTCATGTGGGTTTGGGTCTGACCCTGTGGATGTGGCTCCAGTCCAGTCTGACCACAACACCACAACACTGCAGCTGGCACAGGCTGGCACAGGCTGGCAGCGTGGTGGCAGGGTGGAGGGTGGGTCAAATGGTTTGGGCACACTCACATGGGCCTGTTCAAAGCACTTTATATAAAGGCAGCACAATATGTCCTGATCTAATGAAACTCACACTTTTGTACAACTGTCACATCACAAAAGCTGTGATTGTATTTATTATTCTTATGTCCCAAACCTGCTTAAGTTTGTAGTTTAATCTTCTATAAACATGCTCTGAAATTTAATGAACTGAAATCTGATTTGAAAACATAAATCGCAAATGTAATAGCAAATGCAACACACAAATCACAGTTAATGTCTTGCTCAAGGACACTACTATATACTCTAGTACATACTATAATAGGAGCTTGGATATTAAGGGAACCTAACTTCTACTTCACATGTTGAAACTGTTGTGTTTAATGATAACTAAAAATGGAACTGTGAGGTCAGTGTAAGTACGTCTCAGGGGGTGTGAACTGGTGACGGGGAAAACAAGGTTGATCAGCAAAATGGCATCTTGAATATAAGCGATTAAAATGACTCAAACATGCACACATCACTCCAAATACAACTTCAGAGAGTAAATTGTGAAGGGAAACTAATACAACATGGTTGAAAGTTGTGAAAAGTCCCTTTTGCAGGAACAGTCAGTGTGACCCGGTCTGACCCGGGGTAATGGAGGGGAATGATACGGTTAAGCCGTTTCAGAGCCTCCTTCAGGATGTCGGGGGGAGGGGGGGATTAGCCACTTAAGATAGCCCCAGATCAGAGGCAGCGCTGAGCCAGACTGACAGTTGTGTTTGGGGGGCCCCTCCTCTCATAGGGGCCACCAGTGAGAGAGAGAGAGAGAGAAGGGGAGAGAAGAAAGAGTAAGAGAGAGAGAGTAGAGGGAAGGTGGGGGGCTAAAGGGAAAAAGGACAGAGACAGATGAGGAGGGAGAGAGGGTGAGAGAATGAGGCTGAGTGAGAGACAGAGGGGGGAGGATAGAGAGTGGGAGCCAAGAGAAAAATAAGTAATAAGTAGAGAAAAAAGAAGGAGGGAGAGAGAGAGAGGCAGAGAAGAAAAGAGTGGAGAGAGTGGAAGACAAGAGAGAGAAAGAAGAGAAAGATAAAGGAGAGACCAGAAGTTGGATAGAGACAGATGAGGAGGGAGGGAGAGGAGGGGGGAGGATAGAGCAGGGGAGAGAGGGAGGTAGAGTTACCTGGCCACCAAGAACCACACGCTTTGTCAAAACTTTACAAAGACGAGTGAATCTGAAGCAGTATCCTGTTCCCCTGATTTCAGAGGCCATGATTGACAGGTGGATTAACCAATCAGAGAGACACGTGGTCCGTTCATATCAAAACAAACATGGCTGGGACTGAGAAACAGCATGGATTTTTGACATTTTTTAACAAAGCACCAAACTATTATTTAACTCAGACAAAAGAAGATCTATATTTTGTTCTAAATTATACAATAATTTTGAAGAGTAGTCTTCTGCAGGTTTTTCATGCTCTATGGTCCAGTTACAAATCCTTCTGGAGTTAAACAGAATGTAGAATTGACTGGCTGCTCAGAAAGAGTTAGAGAGGTTGGGGGAGTAGACAAAGTGAAACAAGAGAAAGAGAGGTGGAGGCGAGAGGTCCCTGTTTGGTGAACCCTTGCGCAGCAAGATAGATTCTCATGATACTACTACACAACACCACGACTCTACAAAGTAAACATGGCAGTGCTGGTGGACAGTGATGGCAGCTGATAACCCCCTTAATGCTCAAATATAATTTGTATTGCAAAAACAGTTACATTGGTTTATGGACATGTCCCATCTCCAGCACAACACTTATTTTGGCTTTAAGTTGGATATGACATTTTGACAGGTTTGCTGTGATTGGTGGGTGGACACTCAGTCAGTTCATTCAATCAGCTGTAATTCTGCTGTAAATCCCTCCTTTTTTCTAAAAGCTTTCAGTGAGAGATGTTCCAGATGGATCAAGTGTAGAACTCTGTTCAGAGTGATACACATATGAATGTGGAGAGTCTCCCACCTTCACTGTGACCATGTGAGGACAAACAAAGAGTTCAAAAGCAGTTCTGTGCAGTATAATATAGAATATATAATCATTATATACACTAGGAGAACATGCAAACTCAGCACTGAGCCTGTATCTCTTTATTTGAGATGCAGGTGTTCCATGTAGAGCAGACTTAACCTGTACTGCTAAGTAACATAGATGGTTACAGAAAGGACATAAGCACAAAATCTGTGACCTGGAGCAGAGTGTCGGCCATGAAGCCAAAGGGAGTAGTCTGAACAGATCTATACACGGCATAAATAAGGCAGCAGGTTTCTCATGCATGTGGGTATTGTCTTACTGGGAAGGGTGGGAAGGGCTCTGTAGTGGAAGTCCTCCTA